GGCAAGGAATGCCCGGTGTGACCCCTCCTCGTCCTCCTTATCCGATCCTAGAAGCCGCTGCAGGCGACAGCCCTGCGGATGTGGTCCAGGGCCGGCTTGCGGGAGCCGTGGGAGGTCTTCGACGAGGAAGTCCAGCGGATTATGCAGGAGCATGGCTCCAATCCATGGCGGCGTAGGCTGTGCATCGGCTGCATTGCTCTGGGAAGTCCGTGTACATGTATGCAAGACTGCACGGCTTAGATGGGTAAAGTGCACAGAGGTTCACAGTGTCCTGAGTCCTGATCGGAGCAACGAACCAAGGCGAGGGCATCGCGGGGACAAGTCGCTATGGACAGCTTTCCTATGCTTGCTAGATGGCCCAAGTCGAGATGGCTTATTTGTCGATGTCTGCTGCCGGGAGCTAGCTGCTTTGGTTCGGTTTGTGCAGAGGAACCCCTCTGCCGACAAGATGCTGTCCATGCAGGAGTGGGCCAAGTTGACCCACGAGAGCAGACAACCTTGGTTGCCCGATGATGGGGTGCAAGAGCTCAGGGCCTTGAGCTACGATGATGCTTTCTTCTGGCTGCCTTTTCTCCGTCGGTGTGGCTTCAGTCATCTAGGAGAATCCAGTGCAAAGCCGGCATTGAAGCCAGAGCATCAGGCGTTGTGGAGCGACTTGTGCAGCTTCCTGCCAGGGTTTCCGGCAGCAAACCAGCATCCGTGGAGGCCCCAGCCGGCTGGAGATGGCGAGAAAGTGCTGAAGCCACTGAAGCGAGAGCTGCCTTCGGCCCCTGAGCCGGCGCAGCTGCCAAAGCTAGTGAAGCGAGAGCTCCTGTCTGACCCTAGCAAGCCGAGTCAGGAGCCAGAATTGCCAGGGAAGCCTGTGAAGCAGGAGTTGCCATCGGCCCCAAGTGAGCAGTCTGCCCAGGGAGTCAAGAAGGAATCGCTTCCTGTGCCAGTCACGCCCCCGAGGAAACGTGGCAAGGCTGCCGTGGAGTGGGTCATCGAGGACTCGCCAGACGTACCGGTGCCAAAAGCATCCAAACAGTGTCCTGCTTCTCTAGGCCTTACAGGTCCCGAGGTGGAGGCCTTGCTACTGTGCAACCAACGAGCCGAGCCCTTCCGTCACTCTATGATGTCTTATGCGCAAGTCTTAAAGCTGTGCTGCCGTGTGGCAAAGCTGCACTATGGCGAAAGTTGGCCTGCAAGTGTTGGTGTGGTTATGGCAGGGTCGGAGCAGCAAAATTCGTGCTCTGAGCTGGCAGTGGGGCTGCCAGCTCCTCTTCGGCATCGTCTACTCCGACTGGCACTGGGCCTTCGTGGATGTGGAACGGAAGCCAATGCCGGAAGCCGTCTACTACGACGGCGGCTCTGCTGGAGATCGCAAGCTGTGCCTGGACATGGCAGTCGCTTTCTGTGAGCATCTGCGAGCGTGCGATTGGCTGGTGAGCAAGGCGAGCCTCACAGAGGCCTGCTGCCCGCAGCAAGCGGATGGCTACAGCTGTGGTCACAGGGTGGGTCTGATCATGAGCTGCATCCTCGAGCAGTACTCTGCCAGGCAGTGCCTTCCCACCCACATCCCGCCGGAGATCTGCGCTTCAGCAGCAATTGACTTCCTTGTCCAGCGGTCCCAGCAAAGCGTCGGCGGAGCAGCAAAGGCTCCGGCTCCAGCACCATCGTGCCCTGCTGCAGCCCCTGAAAGCTTGCAAGAGGCAAAGCCGGGTCGTGTAGAGTCGGAGGCCACCCCACACACGCCCGAGCGGCGGCCAGCACAGAAGCGAGGGCTGCAAGCTTCGCCAGCAGCCACGGATGCGAGCACCCCACGTGCTAGAGTCTCCAAGATTGCTGGCAGCAAGGCTGAGAAAACACCAGGGAAAGTTGCACCAAGCACTGGGAGCAAGAAGAAGCGTGTTGCACAGCAGAAGCAGGCGAAAAGGAGCCAAGCCATGGAAGCTCTGGAAGGGAAAGGGATCGACCATACCGTCTTCCAACGAGAGCATGCACGTGAGAAGGCCAAGGCTCTAGGAGGACACTGGCAGACGTTCTTGGAAGCGGTCGCCGACCCGACCCGTCTCCTCGACTGTGCTGTCTGCCGTGACCTCCGATGCAGGGTTCTGACCGCAGAAGAGGACTCAGCGAACCAGGACCAGGCTGCTCAGGCCATCGTTGCAGCAGACGACCCCGAGGAGGATCCCATCCTTTTCAAGCCAGCTCCCAAGGCGAGACCGAAGGGCGGCACCGTGCCTGCCTCTGGCAGCGACATCCATCGCTTCATCCGGAGCCAGCGGAGCGGCATCTACAGCATGACCAGCAAGAGCTACGAGCCCTCCTGCACCTACTACTGTCACGCCTGCCACAAGGATGTGAAGTTCTGGAGTCAGAGCAGTGTCTCCAAGATGACAGGCAAAAATGGCCATGAGCACTTCAACTGTCACATCATCGGCCTCCAGAAGCTGCGAGCTCAGCAGGCTTCGAAGGCCGCCCCTGATTCCGCACTGGAGGATGAAGGTGCAGATGCTGCAGCATTTGCCGTCGTCCCAGTCCCAGCCAGGGCAGAGTGCAGAGGTGTCTCGACCGAGGATGCTGCTTTGGTGGACTTGAAGAAGAGCCTGCAGACCTTTATGTTCTATGGCCAGCCCCGCACAGTCTTCAAGGGCAGCGAGAAGGATCCACTGGGCGAGGTCACTCTAACTCTGGATGACTCAGTTGTACGTGTGCGGAGCACTGCCTGTCTCGGATTCCTTTCCGATGGCCAAGGTTTGTTGAGCTGCAAGGTGTGCCGCCGAGCAGCCATGCTGCCATCGTTCCGAGCCCACATCGCGAAGAAGGCCTACTTCACCGTTAGGCTCCGATCGTGTATTTTGCACGACGCCGGAGCATACGCCATCATTATCGTGTATTTTGTTTCCGCTGATGTTTGATGCTTCCAACATCTCTTAGACAGCGTAGCTGTTCTGCATGGTAATCATAAGATTATACACGAAAAAGAATGACAGACCTTTAATTCCCAATTCTGGCTCAATCGTGGGGAGCAGAAGATATAGACAGACCTTTCAATTCCAATTCTGGCTCAAACCGGCTCATCGCGGGAGAGAAAAGAAGAAGATATATAATTGCATATATAAAACCCATATATCTTATAATACACCCTTAAAAGCCCTATGTGCCACTTTCCCTTTATTCCTGAACACCCCAAACGTTTCGAAGCTCCAACAGCAATAGAAGCAAGCTCCCAGGACGATTCTTCGCTCGAAGCTGTGGCTACTCCTTTGAATGCCCCTGTGAAAACCCTTAACTTTTCGATCCTCTCATGCACTCAGAAACTCTTGCATGCAACCTCCGAGTTCTCATTCCATGTTCGCATAGCATGCAGTAAGTGCGAGTCGGGTGTCAGCACAGGCCTTACGGGCGCAGGCAGCATGCAGATACCTGTTGCAAGAAGTCAATGCAGTCCTACTTTCGCTCTGCACACACGAGTTCTTGCCATGCACTCCTCCTGCGACTTTCCGATCATCAATGTGCACGGGCAGGCAGGGCGCCGTCGGTGCGTCAGAGGTCACATGCATCACACATTTGATTGCAACAGGCCGCATCATGAAGAGCTGCCCTGCAGCTTCTCATGAGCATCGCTGTTGTGGACGAGGCTGCATGCGCTTTGCAAGCCAGCTCTGCAGTGAAGGCAGCAGTTACAAGTTTGCACTGAAGCATCATGGCAAGCATTTCCGGCCGCGACTTCTCCAGGCATGTTCGATTTTCATGCCAGGGTCGCATGCAAGCTCTACGGGATTTCTTGACAAGCAATTCATAAGGAGCGATTTTCAAGGGGCGCCGCCTGTCAGGGGCGATGGCAAACACTTCTGAGCCGGGATTTCTTGAGGCAAGCTTTTAAGGGGCGATTTTTAAAGGTCGCAGCTCTTAAGGGGCGATGTCCTGGCAAACACTTCTCAGGCGGTCAGCCGCGATTTCTTGAGGCGAGTTTTTATAAGGAGCGATTTTCAAGGGTCGCAGCTCGTGAGGGGCGATTGTCAAGGGTCGCATAGGGGCACTTTCGTCTTAGGGTGCTAGCCTAGAGCGAGCGAGCCATGGATGATGCAGAGCGTGCTGCGGAAGCGCTGGCTCGCATCAGGGATGGTAAGCCTCCTCTGGAAGAGGAGCTGCCCACGGCCGAGACATGGCGGTCGGTGCGTGACTCGATTGCACTTTGGAAAGGCCGTTCTATCATTGATCTTGCCATGGCACAGCTTGTCATGGTCAGGGTCTGACAAGATCTCGTGGACATATGACATGGTCGAGCCCTGCATGCATTAATTTGGTGTTCGTTTTGCAGCGGTCTGTTTGCCATGCGCGACAGCATGATATATCGAGGTCCTGGTGGCGGCCCTCACGTACGAGCAGCTGCCACAGGAGCTTTTGACAATGCTGCAAAACCCGGGATGGACCGGCGCACGACGGCTCATCAGTTTGAAGAGCGAACTCGCGAGACCCACCGTTGCAGAGATCAGCCTGCACTACAGGTGGATCAAGCCGTGGGCCACAGTCATACCCACGAAAGTACCCTCCGGGTACTTTATAACGGACGTTTTGCTCTACTTGAACAAGTTATTGGGCGGACGACTGCTGCGAGTCGCCAATGCCGAGTCCGTTCGAGGCAAGGCGGCCGAGGAGGCTTGCCGACTACGCAAGCTCATTTCGAGCTTGCGCTATCTGTTCAGAGGCAGCGACTTGGTTGCGAATCGACTCCTGTGTGCATGCGCATGCTCGTTTGCAATACAGCCGAGGCAAGCGCAGCAGATACGAGAGAGTTGACGACTTGAAGAAGAACCTCAAGCCCAAGGTGTGCCCGTTAGGTTGCAGGTTGCATGAAGGTTTGCCTGTGTTTGTCCATCAGGACAAGAAGATGGAAAAGAAGAAGGAAAAGCCAGCCGGCATTGCCGACGGAGAGCCGGCCTGCATTGCCGACGGGGAGCCGGCCTGCGTTGCCGACGGGGAGCCGGCCGAGCCGGCGGTGATCGCCGACGGCCGTGAGGAAGCTTCTTGGATCACTGCAAGCATGCATTGTGGGTGCATGAATGTTTTTGGCTTGCTCTATCTCAGGCTGAGCCCTCACTGTCGCAAGCATCGACACGGGTGTTGGGAGACCATCTGAAGGAAGAAGATGATGATGAGGCCGTTGATTGCATGATGCCGCAATGGTGTTCTCTTCTGCGAAAACTACTCCCATGACCTTCATGTCCCCCAGCACGCTGTACTAAACCCTACTATACTTTCCCGTGGCGCTAGGACTTCGATGGCACCAGCTCCCTGGAGCCCCTGACCGACGAGAGCTCCGAGGACGATAGGGAATCACGTTTGCAAGATGCGTGCGTGCTCATTTCATGAAAGCAGGGCGATCCAGAAGACCCCCTGGACCTGAAGCTGGAAGAACTCCAGGCCCACGTTCACCCGCACTGGGTTTACGATCAGATAAGTGCTCATCGAGATGCCGAATACAGAGCTGATTTATTGGCCCAAGCCGAGATGGAGATGCTGGCTTCGCAAGAGAGCGGAGCAGATCCACCCGCTCCGTGGTTGCGATCAAGTTTGCATGAGCTAGATGTTCGCGAGGTGCTGCACGCTTTAGCATGTCTGCGAACTACAGGAGATGGTGGACCCGAGCCAGGCGGTCACAGAGAGCTACCTCGGTTCGGGGGACGTGCCTACGCCGCCGAGCTCGCCGGGCGAGAGCATGGATGCTGCGGCTGAGGATTTCTGATTTCTGTTGTGAACACAAAAACTTTGCACATGCTTACATGTATATATGTGGGTATGTCTGCGGTTTAGTCATGTGTGAGTGTCCCTATCAGGATGACGGGGGACCGTGGTTGTGTCGGCCCCGACCAAAAGTGGATCTAGATGAACCTATCTTCGGGACATGGCCCATGGTCATCGATGACTCTGATGAGGATGATGCATGATGTGTGGAGTGTAAGTCCCGTGATGATCGGTGCATAGCCCTGTAGGAGATCAAGAGCGAGCCGAAGACATCATCGGACAAGGACGTTTTGATTACTGCATGTGTGCAAAGTCATGATCAAAAGCTCTTGTTGCAGGACGAGGCAACCGACCTCGAAAAGGCCGAGCAGATCCTAGACTCAATCAGCCCCAGCTCCGAGTTTTGCAAGGATTTCGTAGTGAATGCAAGTCCAGCCATGAATGACAGTTTATGCTACTTGTTTGCCTTGGCAGGATCAGCAGAGCGACACCGACAATGGGCCCAAGAAGAGGAAGCAGGACGGTGCCACGCAAATCAGATCGCATGCAGAAAGTCCAAGAACTATGTGATTTTGCAGGGCCACAGGAACAAGAAGAAGGTGCAGGCTGCGATGGAGTCGTCCTCAGAGGAGCTTTACAGTGCATAGACACATGCTGATGATGATATTTCATTCGTGCAGGATCAGCAAAGCGAGACCGACAATGGGCCCAAGAAGAAGAAGGGACAGCACGGCCAGGATGCCAAGGGCTCGAGCGCAGATGAGGACGGCGGATGAGTGTTGCTTTATCGGAGGTTTGATTGCATCGTGGCAGGATGAGAAGAGCGACACCGACGAGCAAGGTCCGGGACCGGGAACGTCCCCACAGGACGTCGTGGTGCAAGGCAGTTTTCATGCAGCATAGAAGCATCATTGCCAATAGTGCATGTGATTTGCAGGATCAGCAGGATGCGATGGAGTCGTCCGCAGAGGACCGCATGATACAAGCCATTGTTGCTTTGCAGGCATGATGATTTCTACTAAGATAGACTTTGCAGGATCAGTGCAGCGAGACCGGGCCCCAGAAGAAGAAGGACGATCAGGATGCAGCGTCGGACGAGGACGCTCTTGTTATGTGTGTGTATGGAATGCATTGCTTATATCCATGGCTCCGTCCCATTCCAGGATCTGCCAAGCGACTTGGACAGCCCGGCCAAGCTTCCTGTGGGAGCCCTGACCCAGCTGGACCGCGAGCCACAAGTTGTTTTGGAACATAGGTTCATTGCATGGTGCATGTTCATGTGCAGTTGATTCACCTGATGTGATGCAGGATGATGACATCGAGGATGCCGAAGCTGCTCCGTTTTGGAGCTCTGAGGAGGACTGCGCATGAAGTCCAGTCTATGTTTGCGTTGGTTGCCATGAGCCCCATGGAGTTAACAATCTGATAATGATTGTTGCGTCAGGAGGTCTCCCCGCTCCCATGGGCGAAGGAGGCTGATGTTTTCTGAGAGCTCAAAGTTTCGAGTGCATGTGCCGGATGGGATATAGGACGACGTGGGTGACTCCGGGAGTCCCAGTGGCTGTGCGGCCACTGCCAAAGAGGCCTGTATTTGCAAACTGTTCAAGCCATTCAATTAAATAATGCCTATATAGACACAGCAGCTCAAACCAGGATGATGCTTTGGGCCACCGGGTCGGAACAGCCATTACCTGAGAGCCGATGTTTGTTGATGCAACCCATTCAAACCGGTGCAAAAAAGCAACGGTTAAAAGGATGATGACGGTGAGTCCTCGCCCTTGGGCGACGCCGATGACAGCCAGGAGATTATTTGCTGACATGTGACTATTGCAGCCTTAATTTTTTTAAGTGTGTGCCGGGAGGAGCTCCAGCCTGTTGGTGCTCAGAGTGCAAAGGATATGTTGAAGGCCAGGGCGGCCAAGGCAAAAGCGGCCATGAAGGAGGCCATGAGGAAGGCCATGAAGAAGGCCTTCTTGAAGAAGGCCTCGTTCCGCCGTGGCAAGAAGGGGAAGCGCAAGGTGAAGCCCGCGAAGTTTCACGAGTACGACCTCGTGGAGTTGCAGGTGCCTCGCGCGGCGTGGCCGCAGGGCCCAACGAAGGGCGTGCACAGTTACACTGTGCGGAACGGCGTCGTGGCGATCGAGGTGCTGTGCAGGAACCGGGCGTTCTACTGTAAGAAGGTTCACCCGGACTTGGCGGATGATCCGAACCACCGCGTAGGTCAGGTGGGCTGGAAGACGGTGGGGACCGTGGCTGCCGCATGGCGCGTAGCCAAAGAAAGGGTGGGGTGGGATCTGGCCTGAGCCACTACCACTACCACTACCACTACCACTACCACTACCACTACCACTACCACTACCACTACCACTACCACTACCACTACCACCACCACGACCACGACCACGACCACGACCCACTGCCACTTCTACTTCTACTTCTACTTCTACTTCTACTTCTACTTCTACTACTACTACTACTACTGCTACTACTACTACTACTACTACTAGTACTAGGTACTGCCACAACAACAACAACAACAACTACTACTACTACTACTACTACTACTACAACTACAACTACAACTACAACTACAACTACAACTACAACTACAACTACAACTACAACTACTACTACTACTGCTATAGTTATGCTCGCTACTACTATGCTCTGCTACACGGGTGCTACTGCCACCATTTTGTTGCAGCATGAAGCGGCTTTTGTAACCAACATATGCTCTCTTGTCATTGTAAATGTTATAGTATAATTGGCTATGGGAGGTTTCTACTATGGTGCAGCACAGCTAGAGCAAGCATGGAGAGATCCCATCCGGCCCTGCAGTTGAAATTTTGAGTCGTGAACGAATGCGTTCACGCGTGCTTCTGTCTGCGGTGGAGCCAGTGTGGATGTTGAGGTAAAGTGCAGTGAATACAAACACTCTAGCCTCTGGCATGTTTTATGCTGTTGCTTCTGGCGGGCTGCCGTAGATTTTGTGGAGGCACATGCCAAAACGAGGACGTGCTTTTGTCTGCGGTGGAGCCACTGCATGTGCATGTTGCGACATGGAGCGCATGCATAAACACTCTGGCCTATAGGCATGTTTTGTGCTGTTGCTTGTGGCGAGCTGCCGTAGATTGAAGGCACATAGTGCCAAAACGAGGACGTGCTTATCTGCGGCGAGCCACTGTGCAGGTTGTGAATAAAGTAGAAGCACTCTAGCCTATGGCATGTCTGCGGGGAGCCACTGTGCATGTTGTGAGGTAAAGCACAAGCACTCTAGCCTATGGCATGCTTTATGCTGTTGCTTGCAAGTGGCGGGCTGCCGTAGATTTCAGGCACATGCCAAAACGAGGGGTGGCTTTCATTCAGCGAAGCCGAAGCCGCTGAGAAAAAAATCCTTTTGAGTTTGAGCTGCAGTTCGCATGGCGTGAGGGTATGAGTTTGAGCTGCAGTTCGCATGGCGTGAGGGTGAGTTTGAGCTGCAGTTCGCATGTCGTGACGGTATGAAACTTTGTCTGTTCTTGCAAATCCCTTCGTGCAGGCTGCGCGGCCCAGAGGACATTCCGATGTGGATGTATGACTTTGCGGAAGGACCGAACGGCCAGGGATATTCGCAGAGCATCAGAGCATTGCCATTCTGAGTTGTTTGTGCATATGTCATGCGTGACTGAGTGCATCGATGCTACATTCATGCGTGCAGACTTGTATAGGAAGTTCGAAGTCGTCTTGCAAGGTAAACAGATGCTAGCTTTCCACACATCTGCCAATCCGGTGCAATGCGATCATGCAAGTTTTCAATCTGTGTTTCATGTCGATACAGTATATGTAACATCGCCTGCAACACTATAGTCTGCTTCGAAGCGATGAAGAAGAATGCAGATGGTTCCAAGAATTCCAAGCTGCGGGTGCAGCGGCCCTTGAAGAACCGTCGACTTCAGCAGCAGATGTTCGTGCTGCATGGCTTGGCACAGATCGGTGCGCCTTTGGAGCTTTGGTTTGCATATGCTGGCTGCATCATGAGCATGCGAGGCCCCTCCCATGATTGGACAAACTTGTTGACTGTCAATGAACGAGGTCATCTTTAGACTTGTGGCATTGGTCACGCAGATCGAGAGCCTGCCCTGGGATAAGCCGTTGTACCACTTCGAAACGTTTGCTGGGCGCAAAGCTGTTACTCTGGCAGAACTTCATGCTGCCTGTTTGCAGAATAACTGATTGATGGGTTTCCCCGACCCTCCCAAAAGCCCATGCCCTGCAATTTGTTCCCAGGCTGGGAGATATGCGGTCCCGCACGATATCAGCTACAACCAGAACACTATGGATATCCTCAGCTCTTTGGGGTTCTGCAGTGCAGTGTTTGAGTGCCTGAGACTTGTGCCTGGTAGTGGAAAGCTCACGGCTCCGGTTTGCTCTTCTTGGGTGTTTATGTAGGGCGCTGAGTTGCTCATGTACCACACATGATGTGAGTGTCCTACCATGTGTGCTGTGGTGCTCTTGGCTTTTCAGGTCCCAATCCAAAACACAGCGACGTTCTGGTGATGTGACCGGAGACGAGTCTGTGCAGTGTGTGAAGGATGGAAATTGCATGCTTTGGAGGGTTGTGGCACTCCTCCTGATCTGCTCCGCTAAGGGTGTCTTTTGGATATTGGAGCAACCAGAGAGATCCCTCATGCAAAACCATCCGGCCCTGCAGCTGCTGTTCGGCATGATCAAATGCTATCGGATTTCTGTGAATATGGAGGATTTCGGTGCGAGATCCAAAAAATCTATGTGGTTATATAGCAGTGCCTATACAGCAGTGCCTTGTTCGCATATAGCACTTTCGAGAACGAGCCATGTGCACATGTAGGGTTGGTTTTGCACAATTGAGATGGAGCCTGTCTGTTGCTGCTGAGACCGGAAGATCTTGGAGAAGCTTCCCGAGTTCAAGCCGCCTGAATCTGACCTCCCTGCACCTGAAGACAGAAGGGGATGGGAAATGTCGGTGCGCACCGTCGACGAGGCTGGGTGCAAGCGAGTCAGCGGCGGCAAGAACCTCAAGGCTTCTCAAGCATACCCCCGGCAGTGGGGGTCTGAGATCCTGCATGTGGTGCGTGTTTGCAACCGAGAACCCGAACCCGTGGAATGCTGTTTCCCATTCTTAGGTTCGGTGCTGCGCTGGCATCCTTGCGGACGAGGTATGACAAAGAGATCAAGCAGCATGCTTGGGCAGATCTTAAGGTTGCTTTGAGGCGGCCTTTGCGGCTGCCTGGGGATGACAAGACTTCAAAGAAGTGGGCGAAAAGAGCTGGTTTGAAGAAGGTTTTTGCATTCCTTCGACAGCAGCAGTAGCTGCTAGCTACATAATGCAATATGTGTGTACAGTTGGGGGCAAAAAACATGATTTCAGTGGGGCAACTGCAAAAGGCTGCACTGCAAGATTTGCCGGTGAGCCTGCATCATGGTGGTGTGCAGCAGCTATATCTCTTTATGACGATTATATGCAAGACGGTGGCATGCTTCGCAGGATTATGCCGCCGTTCACATTGAAGCCGAGCCATTTGGCACTGGCTGAATGCCGTGGTCCAGTTCAAGGCCAGCTGGATGCCATGTATGTCACACAGAACATGTGCCAGTGGTGCTGTTTTGTGCTGTGCTGCGGCTTGCGAGAAGACTCCTGGAGGGCAAAGGGAAAAGGGAGGGAGGGGAAGGGAAGAGGGGACGCGGGGAGGGGAGAGAGGAGAGCTAGGGGGGACGCGGGGAGGGGAGAGAGGAGAGCGGAGAGGAGCCAGCGAACTCCAACACCGAGGGCGGGGCGTTGGAGTTGCCGCCACCCCTGCCCCCACCCCTCCGAAGGGCACGAGAAACGAGCATCACGAGCATCAGCCGGGGTCGGAGCAGTGTTTTGGGGCTGGCTGGTGTGCAGGGGAGACGAGGGAAGAGGGGCAAGGAGAGCGCAAAGGGATAGGAACTGAAACCAAACCCGAACAAATCGGAGCAAACGCGCCAAAGTCGATGGCGTGATTTGCCGTGAACGCTGCCGTGATTTGGCGTGGAATGCCGTGATTTGTACATGGGGCCCGAAAACCATACCGCCCCGACCCAAAACGACCAGAACTCGACACGACCCAGCCGACTTCGGCACAGAACCATCACCGCAAGTACACAAACCAGCCGCGGTTGTATAACATGCTGCCGTGATTTGTGCCAACCACTGCCGTGATTTGCAAAACACCCCGGCCGTGATATTGCCAAACACCTGCACTGCCGTGATTTGCAAAACACCGCTGCCGTGATTTGTAAAAGCCGCTGCCTTGATTTGCAAAAGCCGCTGCCGTGATTTGCAAAAGCCGCTGCCGTGATTTGGTAATGCCGTGATTTGTAAAAGCCGCTGCCGTGATTTGTAAAAGCCGCTGCCGTGATTTGCAAAAGCCGCCGCCGTGATTTGTAAAAGCCGCTGCCGTGATTTGTAAAAACCGCTGCCGTGATTTGCAAAACACCACCGCCGTGATGAGCAAAACACCGCTGATGAGCAAAATGCTGCCGTGAATTCTAAAACAACATCATATATATATATACATACATATAACATATATATTATATATATTATGCACTCATATTATATATATATATAGTTATACACATACATGCAATTCGTGCATGGTACATGCACATGTGCAATGCATGCATGCTATATACATATATAAGGATTATGTGTGCCTGCATGTATACATAGGCAAGGTGCGTGTGTTGTCTTGCACATGAAGGCTGCACTTGTGCTAGATGGGTATAATGCTGCCATGTGCGCACAGTATACATTGTCTTCTTCTCTCTCTATCTCCCTCTCGCTGTCTTCCTGAAACCCCCAATTGTCGATTGCCTGTCTAGCAGTCTATCTGTCTGCTCTAGCTAGCATGTAGCCTATATATGTCACGAACACAGCCCATGGCATTGTGAAACCCACCCCACCACACCCACCCCGGCGCAGCCGATCGAGGCCATCTATCGGTCTGTTTGTCTGTCTGTCTCTGCCTGTCTGTCTATCTGTCTGTCTGTCTTTTGTCTGTCGTCTGCAGAGATTGAACAGAAATATGCGGAGAGAGATTCTGAGGGAGATTGTATGCATGCATGCAGACTGGATGCATTCACGTTGTTCTGCAATTCATGTTGTTCTGCAACATGTGCCCTCAAGCATTTTGCTTGTCTTTTTGAAAGCATCCTTTCTTGCTGCAGCTATGCCAGCCGATTCGGTGACACACCGAGTTCCTTCGAAAAGGAAGCAGCAGTCTCGAGATGCTGAGGAGTCCGAGGCGAAAAAACCTCGGGTTGCGGGTAAGAAGAGGGTTGCGGAGCCATCCGCAAAAGAAGTGGCTCAGAAGGAAAAGCTGCTGAAGATGGCAGAGTTCCTACAGAGGCAGAAGGAAAGCAAAGACAAGAAGGAGGAAAGCAAAGACCAGAAGGAAGGCCAAGACCAGAAGAAGGAAAGCAAAGACAAGAAGGAAGGCAAAGACAAGAAGGAAAGCAAAGAGCAGAAGAAGGAAAGCAAAGACCAGAAGGAAGGCAAAGACCAGAAGGAGAGCAAAGACCAGAAGAAGGAAAGCAAAGACCAGAAGAAGGAAGGCAAAGACCAGAAGAAGGAAGGCAAAGACGAGAAGAAGGAAAGCAAAGTCCAGAAGAAGGAAGGCAAAGAGAAGAAGGAAAGTAAAGACCAGAAGGAGAGCAAAGACCAGAAGAAGGAAAGCAAAGACCAGAAGGAGGCCAAAGACCAGAAGGAGAGCAACGACCAGAAGAAGGAGAGCAAAGACCAGAAGGAGAGCAAAGACCAGAAGAGGGAAGGCAAAGACCAGAAGAAGGAAGGCAAAGACCAGAAGAAGGAAGGCAAAGAACAGAAGAAGGAAGGCAAAGACCAGAAGAAGGAAGGCAAAGACCAGAAGAAGGAAGGCAAAGACGAGGACGAAGAGGACAGGGCAAGGGTTTTTGTGCAGTCTGTGGAGGTTTCCTTGTGTCGTGCTTTATATAGGATCCAGAAGATGAGAATGCCTGGGATGACGTCGCCATGTACGAGGCAAGGCTGGCAGCTCAGGAGCTTGTTGCAAATTCCCCGGAGTGCTCAGACATGTCGGAGCCAGAGTCCGTTGCTGAAAGCGGTGATGGGGGCGATTCAGAGAATGGCGAGACAGGGGATGAGGCCCCATCGGAGGCCCCAAGGACCCCTGGGGCCGGTGCTTTGGACAGCGACGAGGAGCTGCCCCTGTCGCAAGAGTGCCGTCTGGACGAGGAAGAGATGCAATCGTCTTCCTCGGATTCCGAAGAATCCGACAAGGATTCGGACGGCCAGTCGGTGGACCCAGGAGAGGACGACCAGGCTTCCTTGAGCAATGCGGTTCAGGAGCAGGAGAACGAAACTGTGCGGAACAGCTCCCCAGATGAATTTGATCCCCTATATGTCATTTCGGGTATTGTGTAAAAGCTGCATATGCGTGCATTTAAAGTGCAACGCACAGGAAGGAATGGGCCGTCTTCGACCGTGCCATCAAAAACCGCCAGAAGTTCCCCGTCGCTCTCAGTGCCTATGTAAATAAATCCAAGACGGATTTGTTTGCTGCCTGGCTCGATTGCAGCGGCAATTGGGACGAGCTACATGGCTGAAGCTAGCTAGGCATGTTTGTGCCTGTGCCCTTTTGCTTCTTGCCTTGGTGTTGTCTGATTCATGCAAAGCAGATATGATTGGTGATTTTTTGTCATGCTGCGCTGCTGCAACCCAGGGTGAAGTTGACTATGGAACGAACTCACAAAAAGAAGAACCTCAATCGGCAAGATGTGGTTGCTATCCAGGGCAAAGAGCTGAAGAAGAAGTACGACACGGAGGCATAAGTCTAAGTGCATGGTGCTATTGATTTCTTCTTTGGAGCATATATCGTGTGCATTGCCAGGAAATGTATAAGCAAGTCATTGCAGCAAGAAAAGCCGAAGGACGATGGTACAAAGACAAAGACTTCCCTGAAAACGAGGATGTGTCTAGGTTGCGGTCAGTGTGTCGTATGCGAGCTGTGTTTTGTTGTTGCATGCCTGCACGTTCCGAGGAAGCTTGGTACTACATGCCGCAGGGCCACATGCTGCGGCGTGACAATGAAACAAGCGAAGCCCAAAGGCTGTCTGTGGATCAAAGCATGGATGAAGATTTGGCAAAGGTTTTGGAAGAGAATAACGTGCTTCAGGCAGGCAGCCTGCCTGCTGTGCATGCAGCCACCGAGGCTGGTGAGAAGACCCTGCTTGCCCTCTTCGAGGAGCCAGGTTCGCTTCAGAAGCGAGCCCCAGCAAAGCAGAAGAAGGATTCAGAGGTAGAGGCCGAGGAGATGAAACCCAAGACCCTGAAAGAGTTCCTTGCATGCATGGCTTCAATGATTTGCAGTGAGATTTTAGTTCAACTCATGATTTGCATGCAATATCTGCGGCTGTGGATCCTGGTTCTAAGGCAAGTGATTGAACGGAGGGCGGAGATCCTCCGAGATTCCACAGAGGCTCGCAAGACCTCCATCACCCTGACCAACCTGAACTATGGTGGTGACCTCTCGGAGCAGCTTCTCAAGTTCTCGAAGAAAATGGAGCTTGCCTACAAGCGGCTCGGGGAGCTGCAAAAGCAAGAGGATGCTGATGCAAGGATCAAGAAGGTCCTCAGATGGGTTGATAAGAAGAACCCGTGGTTCAAGCAAGCCCAGGCGCTTGCTGTTGCTGTGTGTTAGCTCAACTACTGTGTTGGATCCATCCGTTTTCTGGCAGGCAGCAGCAAACGGCCTACAGAATGGCTTGAAATCCAAGAAGAAGGCGGGAGCCAAGAAGGCAGCCGCCAAAGGTGTTGCCGCGAAGAGTGCCGCGAAAGCGGATTGATGTGATTTCCAGATGCAGCAGCGCGCAGATTGTGATCAGTGCAGTCGGGACTTAGCATTCTGACGTGGGATAGACTTGCCACACGGCGAGCCCTCACTGGGACGTGCATGCACACTTGATGGGTGTTTGCAAATGACTCCGCTGTACGTATATCCCCAGGAAGTTCCGATGGCATATAGGTGAGGGAAGAATGCTTCTGAGTGAAGTGTGTCCTGCATGTCACCGAATGCAGTTTAAAACTGTTTTGGCAAGATGTGCAGCTGTTGCGGGGGATGCTCGAAGTCACTCTGCTGAAAAATTGTGAGTGGTTGTTTGCACTTATCACGGTCCCGATTTGCTGAGTCTGCACTACATTTCACTAAATTGCATGGGATCCTAACTGGGAACTTCCTGGAATGCAGGTGTGGATGCTGGTGATGACAGATCCAAGCCGAGGCTTGGCCGTTTCAATCCACATGTGGTGTTGCTCAGTTCATGTTGCTCTAGTGCCGTGACGCAGGCCTTCATCCTTTCGCCGGAGAGAAGATTATTCCTCTCTGCCACGTTCTCACGCAGCAGAAGAGCTCTTGGAAATGATTGGAAGTGGGAAGACCAATGTGGCTCATGCGCAAAGTTTGGCAGCAGCAATGGTTCGCGATGGAATACCTCAAGAGGCCATTGCTGCTTTTGCAAGTTTGGGCTCCTTCGGAGCGCATGCTTCGAATGCTGAGCGAGACCTGCACACGTGGCTACGAGGCATTTATGGAGTGACTTTGGAACCATACTTCATAAGCTTGATGCTTGAAAGAGACGACATTGTTCAGGAGAACGACAAACCTTTAAAGGCGACGGTATCCACACGGATACCCGTGCTCCTGCCCCACGAGGTCTTTTCTGAGCTTCATTCTTCAAGCGACTATCAGGTTGTGGTGGGACAGAGAAAGAGACAGTTTCCTGTGTTTCCACGTCTGTGTGTGCGCTTTTGTTCTTATATGTGCGGTCTTGCGTCATAATGTATGAATGCTCCTGATCCCTGTCAGTTTGGTTTGAGCATGCTGGGGCAACAGACAGCGGCTGCCATCAAAGAGTTTTGGAAGCATTTGAAGCGGTTCTCGCCGGCAGAAGTGAAGGATCATCCGGCGCTGGAGGGCTCCGACCATGCCAAAATGGTACCGTTGCTAGTTCACTTTGACGGTGCAGAGATGTACAACAATGCTGAGTACAATATTTGGTCGTTTTCGAGTGCTATGTCATCTTTGCTGGATGTGGATTGCCTGGAAACACAATTTGCATGTTGCATCATTCCTCACAGAGCAATGGAAGAGAAGCAGGCCAGTGTGGGAATTCAAGGGCTTTCAGTCTTTCTGTGCATCTAGGTAAACATTCGAGTGCCTCATGCACAGAAAAGATTTTGCTTCCCAGGTGAAGGAACATGTTCATAAGGAAGTCGCGAGGCTCATGAGCTGGTCTTTCGAAATCCTTCAAGGCGGAAAGTTTCCTACGACTGGCTTCTACGGGGAAGAGTTTCCTCCTACGTCTTCCCGTGCGAGAACAAGTGGCAAGGCGTTGGCCGGTGAATGGAAGATTCTTGGGTTGCAGCTACATA